AAGACTTTTCTCGTTCCATGTGGGTATTAAAACTCTGGACATTTGGGTTAGGAGCCCAAAGGAAATTGTTATTATTGTACATAAAGAATTGCTATAGCTGTACATGTGCATATGAAATACTTATTGTTGTATGTACATGTACACCAAGAATCTTTACTGCCAAGAGAATATTCCACTTCTCTTATTGTCTGCAAATTGTTCAGAAAAAGAATCTTAGAGTTTGTGGCATGGATGGAGCTGTGGTAGCAGGGGTGGATTGGGCCATCGGCCATTGCCCGAAGGGCCGGCCGGACAAAAAATGAAAACAATAATTTTGTCCAATTCGCCAAAAAAACCTTTTCTGCTGAACATTATATGGGGGGAGGGGAACCAGCCATGGAGCGATGATGATCATGTTGTATGTGGCCGGTGGCTTTAACGGGTCGCCATTCCATCACTGGAGTCTGGAATGGGCTGGTATAATAGACTTTCTGGGCCGGGTGGGATTCACCCGACACTGTCGCCTGCAAAGTTACTAATTATTAAGTCATCTGCACCCTGTTTGTGGGGATACGCCAGAAATGTCTGCCAATGGTTCGTAACTCCCCCAAAAAATTCAATTTTAAGGCCTCAGCAAAATTTGATGATAGCTGGTCTGCTGGCTGAATATGAGTGCGAGACGATTTTCTGAGGCTGGTGTTAAACATTCCTTGACATTTTTATTAACTCGTTATTTTCAGAGATGAAATTACAGAATTGGGATGTCGGGAATGGTCTCAAATTGCGGGAAATGGCCTCCCATTATAATCAGATATGCCACCAAATCGCATATTTGAGGTTCATTTTTCAAAATTTTTCCAGGCTTCGTGGGCAGTAAAAGAGGCCCAATCCGCCCTTGTGCGGTAGTCAAAAAGTTATGGTACTGGGTTGATCACCAGATGTTCCCAGGGTTCAAATCCCAGCAAAGGAAGAGAAGATCCTTCAGGATTCAACCGATCTAGTTTAAATTAAATAACAAATTTGACATCTCATTGATTTTTTCACTACACTGAAATCTAACCTACTTTCTATCACATGTTCAACCAGACACAGTTCTATGTATATTAACCAGTCATAGTATAACTGAGATCATATCAGAGATCATATCCCACCCTATACACCTGGGTACTAAAATTCCCTCTATACAAATACAGACAATTTGATTAACAGTAGTTAAAAAGATAACAGGATCTGAACACTGTCTTCAAAGAAAATATGTCTGATGTCAATGTGGTAGAACATAAAAAAACAAAAACTGAACTAATTGACATCTGATTTCGAACTGAGATTTTTCAAGCCCAGTCAAGACTTCACACTTGTCACATCTGCCTCACTTTTTTTTTATCTAACCTACATTTTTTTATTTCAGCCTACCATCATTAGTTTGCTTCAATGTATTACAGTGAAAAAGCTTAGTGAAATTTTGGTTCTTCAAGAGTCCTACATTTTGATTGTCTGATAGATAGTGCATGGTAATTATCTAATATAAATACTCTGTGCAACCTCTGGACAATAATTATAACTTATGACAATTCAATATGTCACAGGTTTATCTTGGATAAAACAACCTGGTAAATAAAGGCATTTTTTTCATTTTTTAAGGTAATAGTTGTAGAGTGGTAAGATCAAGAGCTCCTTAAAGGGTGGGGGGATTAGGTGGCCAAGTGATCTAATGTTTACAGAGAGAGAAAGTGAGAAATGGGGTTTAACATCCACTCGACACAAACTAGGACATTTCGGGACTAACATATGGTTCTTTAGCAGTGGGAGGAAACCGGAGGATCCGGAGAAAACCCACAAGGTTGGACAGGCGACCCTACTTCTTGTCACGTACAACCGGGGATTCAAAACCAGCGCGCACATGCTAACCATTCAGCCATCCACCCCCCACCCTAATGTTTACAGATCATGGGCTTAATATTTATGCATGTCATGAGTTCTATACCATGTCTGTACATGACAAAGAGTAGGGTCACCTGTCTAACATCTTCGCTTCATTTGGGTTATTCAGATTAATGAAATAAAGATAATCTGTATACATTAGTTCCAAACAAATGACCTGGCCCCAGTTTCACAAAACATTCTCAGACTTAGTTAAGAATTTACTCAAATTTGTTTGCCTTTATATTTTAACTAAAATATAGCCCTTTATAAAACTTTTGTTGTTTTAATGTATCAAATACAACAATAAGAAACTACGTGAAAAATGTTTGTGTTTCTGGATCAAAGATATTTCTCATAAACAGTGATTGAAAGATGAGTAAATTCTTAACATTAGTCTGAGAATGCTTTGTGAACTCTGGACCTGGATTGTGTGGCGACTCAACTCCATTTCTCCCTCTTTCCTTATGGAATAGAATAAAGATTCATGGTCTTGACAAAAAGAAACACTTTAGGCTTGATAATCCAGGTGATCTTTATATCAAATGAAAGGAAAAGTTGAAATTAAAGGGACCATCCCAATTTTAACAGACTCAGAAATGAAAGAACGTGTACGTATGAAATTTAAGCTCCAAAATATAGAGGAATGGTGTATTTACCTATCTCAAAAATTTAGCTTAAAATATTGAGTTCTTTGAACGTGAACGTCAAAACCACTTATCCGGACACGTAACCCTTTTAAAATTTTTGGTCAGTTTTTTCATTGGATGACCAGCTAATCTTTTGCCATTCCTTTGGAGGTCTAACAGTGCATGACCCACGTGCTGTACTTGATAACGAAAGGTAAATTTCACCTACATATTATTTTTATAAAATAAAAGCCTGGTTTTATCCAGACACTGTATTCTACAGCTTGGGACACCGGTCTCCATTTCCAGATGAAGACTGGCAGGTTTATGGTGTTTGAAAACATATCACGTATATTGAGTTAGTTTGCTCGGCCCTATGGTAGAAGATTTTAAGGGCTTTTAACACAAAATCAAGCAGTTTTATTCTCCAAAATATAATCGAGACTGGCCGTTTAACATCTGGTCTACAACACCATTGTAAATTTGTAAATAAAATCCTTGGGGGGTGGGGGGGTCTCTTCCAGTGGTAGAACTAGTAAGATATGGTCAAAAGCTTTTTATAAGTTAGAATCAGTGTCTGAACAGCAAAAGATGATTTGCTCAGATGACTATCATGATATCTATGAGAAGATTAATCTGTTATAAAACATCATATTGTAAAATAATAAAGTATTTTTTCAAAGGTCTGCAATGTTCGTGCAGTATGGTTGTCTACAATCGTAGCAAATTTAGAAGTTCCTTTAGAATAGAATCATGATGAACTGTATAGACATAAAGATTTTAAGCTTGATCAGCCAAACAATAAGTAACGGCTCAGGAAAAGTTGAAGTTACATGTACCATCAATTGAACCCTAACAGATTTGAGGAATGTTTCACTTAAACAGGCATTATGCAAGAGCTAAATTTGCCTATAGCATGTCTTTCTTTAGGCCTAAAATATTATTTAATTTATAAATTAGGCATTATTTAACTAAGACCATAATTAACTCTCGGTGCCATCGGATGGCTGCGATATAAGAAGATTTTCATACGTTTTGTTGTCGACACGGTTACCGTAAAAATGTATAATCAAGACTTTGTTTATTATCGTAGCAATGGTAGTAATGACAAACGAGGCTAGGCTATAATTGTATCGCTGATATCTAGGCTCAAGGTGATGGAATTTGTCTGGAATTTTCAGCATATTCTCTTTTCATTATCTATTTTTTTAACTATTATACATGTAGTGCAAACTGGCAGCTCTTTATCTAATCTTACCTAATGCTGCTTTAAGTCCAGTATCAACACTTTGCACATTTTTATTTCATATTTTGAAGTTATTCTGTCAAATCTGTTAGCAGCCTAATGAAATGAGAGTTTAATGTCTCATCAATACAAAACTTGTCATTTTGAAACTAATGTATGATTTTTTTTTTCTATGCTCACATGCGCAATGTTAGCAATGATTAGTTTGCCAACATTTCAAATAAAGCCAGTAATAATGTTGCTACCCTAGTCATTTTTTCCCAACTATAAACTATTTTCTCCTGCTATGATAAAGTATAGATGGATGATCAACCATAATCAAATAGCCCGTTCAGACGCTTAAGTTGAACTGGTTTAAAAACCCTGGGGATCGTTAAACCAGTTTAACTTAAGCGTCTGAACGCACATGTGGGGCAAATAAACCAGTTTAAAAACCCCAGCTCGCGACCTGTCTTCGAGAAGGCTTTTTATTTCAAACTGGTTCATCTTAGCCGCCTGAACGGGTTGGCTTAAAAACCCCAGCTCCAGCTTGCTTTGAGCATGCGCAGTACGCAGTAAGTTACATTCCTGTGAAAATATTGGGGTCAGACTGTGCCAATGTTATCTAAAGCGTGCGAGAACCGAATAAAGAATATGAAGCTACCCATGCGCAATTAACTCTAACCTCCGACCGAAGAGGTCAGAATAGTTAAACTGGTTTGGCTTATAGTACGTGTGAACGCAACACGATGCTGTCTTAAAAACCCCAGCGATTATGAACTGGTTTAAAAATAAGCGTCTGAACGGGCTATTAGATTATAATTTGATGTGGTTAGTTTGTTAGTTATTTCAATTGATGCTAATAATAATATTGCTGCCCTCCCAGATTTTTCCATATGTTAGGTAACTATTAATTTGTAAAGCTGTGATGATTAATTTATCAATTAGATTTTGTTGTGGGATTTAATTAATTTGAAAACAGATGATTAATATCCTTTATTCACAAGCATTGATCAAATTGATAATTATGAGGGGATTTTTTTTTTTATTAATTTTTGATAACCATAGTGACTAATATGTGAATAATGTTGTTGTATTTGTCAATTACATAACTAACTTAAATCACAGCATACAAATTTCTATCCTTATTAATGACAACAATTAAACTGACATCTGCTTTTTTATAATTTATATTTTCTTAATGTATAATACATTTCTTAAAAAGAAAGAAACAAACAAAAACTAACCTGCAATTTGGAGGTGGGTCCAGGGTTATATCTGCCAACTCTTTCTGAATTCTGGAATTTTAAAACAATGTGACACAGTTCATAATTCGTAGCCAAAAGTAGGGTATAACAAGTACTAACATTTATATTACCGTGTAGTCAATATGGCGCTATTACACTATGACCCCCTGCATAGATATATGTTACCTTCCAAATTCCACAAATATTACAATCGAAACCCCAACAAACTGCACCTTTTTTGAAAGCTTGTGTTGAGATCTATCCACACATGTCTTTATTTTCCAGATCTGACATATAGTCATTATATACGACCATTTCAAAGCTTATATGCAAATTAGGCAGACGTACACATTATAACCCAATGGATGTACTATATCAATGGTTTGCTTTGTATAAACACTATACACTGAGTACTGGTACGTGAATAAATGCAGGGATGGTTGACTTCTGTATGCATTCTATTATCGAATTTTTCATCAGAAATAATTAGCCGAAATCGTCTTACCTTTTGAGACTCGTGGACATGGCTTTAGAGGTTTTAATTGATGGGGATTTTAACGGGGTTATCGTCGTATTTGTGTTATTTGAAGCGCGGCTATTTGACGGACCATCCTCTGTAGCTCTTACTCTTCGTCCTTTGCCTCGGGTGCTTCCATTCTCTGTCGACATTACCAGAACCACAAATAATGGTTACTTTCAATAAAGTAACCACACACAGAGAAACGTCAATCTGTAAAATATACACAACGAAAAAAACACTCGTAAAATTTACATAAACTGGTTGGTTTATATCGACTTGTAAGGATATCTTACCGAGATATTTTGCTTCACCGGATGATTTTCAAACATCGAGTGTATAATAATTGCTTCGGCCTCTCTCTTATAGACCTGATCTATTGACGTTTAATGAATTCCTCTAATTAAAAAGACCGTCAAATTAATAGCCAAGGCACTTCAGTGACAAAGAAATCGGTTATATTACCGCTATCAAAGTACTTGGCAAATGTATTTCTCGGGTTATACGAGGCAAGCGGAGGAGAGAGGCCTGAGCGATATTTTTCTAACAAAGGAAATACGAACTGACCACGCTTAACTCTCCCTTTTTACGAATTACACACACTTTTAATTAGGATAGGATAGAAGTAGTGAATTTTTACCTGCTCTGTATGATGGTAATATGTAGCAATTCTGAGTATATTGTTTAAATCCGAGCAATGATTATTGAGTCAATACGCGAAACACAAGCAATTTTACTGCAGTCAAAGCTTACGCTGTTCCAATCTCCTCCCCGGGTAACAGCATTAATTTCTACAAGGAATATTCACTAAAATCCGCGTCCATCGCGATTTTTGTCTTTTAATTTAATACAACAATAGCCTTAAACTCTCTAAAGAGCTCCCGATAAAATATATTCTGTGTCCGTGGGAATTAATATTTCACCTCAGTTCATTTCTTTTCTTTGCAGGATATGAAGAGATTAAAAGGGAGGCAAAAGTATCAGCGGTATTTGATGCTGAGACGTGAATTATTGCATTTGTTATAATTAATGACACGTTGAAAGGGACAGGGCACACATACACAATACATAATCTTTGATATACATATTAAAAACAATAAATTTACTGATACATTATAAATATACATCGACGATATAGACACACAGACTGCGGCCGTCCGATTTGTATCCAGAGATTACCGAGTGTAGCCTACATTTGTGTAAAAGGTAGACAAGACTAATCCACCACCAATTCGAATCCAATATCGAAATATAAGATACAGTTTGATTTATGTACACCGAAGAAGCCTACACAATTAAGATGACCATGATTACGATTAAAAGAATGAACAAAGAATAAACAATACTGATTCAATAAACAGGATTAAACGCAATACTTTAAAAGTACATTAAAGTACCAGTTTAAACGATATATTCCACAGGACGGTGCACGGTGTGTATCAGTGTATTTATTTATTTATATATATAATTTTGGGTGGGAGTGGGGTGGGTGTAGATACCAAGTATATATGCATTATGTATATACCAAGTTGAGTGATTAGGTCACACTTACATGACTTACAAATCTTTTTATAAAGCAACCACCCTGTTTAACCCTAGTAGAAAATGACCATCATCAAACTTAGTCAAAGGTAGCCTATTGATTTACAGGGCCGTAACTAGCTCAGAACAACGAGGGGGGCGGGAAGTGTTCTCGGGGGTGCTGTAATATTGACGGACAATGTATATCTATTTTTTTATGGTTGAAATTTTTTTTGCAGCAGGGGGGGGGGCAAAGTCCCCCCCCCCCTGCGCCCCTCTAGTTACGGGCCTGTTGATTTAACGAAACTATATAGATCATGTATTATCATTCTATAGTATCTTAATTCTACTTAACCAAAGAGGAAAATGCCCATCATTGAACTTAGTCAAGGTATAGGGAAATTACACATGTTTCTTCACTGAATTTGAATTAAAGTTGTTGTGTTCTAAAAGTCTTGACCAATCAAGTTGCTTGTCTAATCAAGTAGACCATAATATGCATTATTGAACATAGTCAACGTATGGATGTAATGAAACTACACGAAGATTCGTCGCTTTCACCAATTAATTGCATTCAGTAATACGAATTTCTCGTACAAACCAAGTCTATTCTTCATGAAACTTTATTATACTTTAAAGATGCATTATGTAAGATAAAAAAACCCTTACTTTTCTTGTTATAATAGTTCAAAAAAAGATAATGCAAAGTGGATATATTGAAAATTTCATTCAAATTACTTTATTATAAGCCAAGCTATCACTGTTTGTAGTTTTGACAACATGTGTGCATTGATTGTTTATTACCGTAACCATAATGCTAGTCATTCGAGACACACTTTTCCATTTTTAAATTAAATCATTAAATGGCCGAACCGTTCTAATCTACCTAAAACCAGAGCCATCAGATGGTATCGAGAGTTGATTATGGTCTTGTCATGTTAATAAATGTCTAATTAATAATTCATATAACATTTAAGGCCTAAAGAAAGACAGAAAGATTTAGCTCTTGAATAATGTCGCTTTAATGTAAAGACGGCTGTTATTATGTAGTTAAACATACATTATGCAAGAGCTAAATCTGTCTATTGCAGGTCTTCCTTTAGGCCTGAAATGTTATCTAAATTATTAATTAGACGTTAATTAACATATCCAGACCATAGTCAACTATAGATGCATCGCTAGCCTGCGATCTTAAGTGGATTGTGAGCCGATTTACTGCATAACTTTCCGTCTCGATTTAACGATTAAATGGATATTCGAGACTATGCTGTTTATCGTACTGACTTTAGTAATCATGACCGAGGCTAGGCAGAAATTTCATTCGCTTTGTTCTCGGTTCATAGTGGATCAATTTGAATGAAATTTTCAGCAAATTGCCTTTACGCTATCTAGTTTTTAACTATTATAGTGAGAACTGCCAACTCGTTATCCAATCTCCCATAATGTATCTTTAATTAAAATAATCAAAAGTATTTAATTAAATAGCGACCTTTACATTCCAATAATACATACTTTTAAGAACGACACGGCTTGATGTGCCTTTTAACCCCCAAATATTCAAACAATTACTAAAAATCTGCCAACTTCATGGTACAAAAAGTATATTTTCAGATAGAACAAATGATATAAAGTAATTAAAATATATAAATGGGGGCGATCTGGAGAAGCTGCAGTGCTGCACGGGTTCCCAGTTGTAAGTAATACTGTTGAGAAAGAAAGCGTCGTTGGCCTGGCTAAAAATTCACTGAGATACGTCATCCATCGCCCATGCTAAACTTGGGCTGCCTGTCTACAGTTAGCTCCGCTTGAGAACAGACAACTACAGACATTTCTAGCCCTAAATCGACGATTTTAGTCGAAAACACTAAGAATAATTCGAGAATTTTGTTAATTATTTAACCTAGCATTAACCATTCAGCAAAATAAAAGATAGGTTGCCGGGCAACAAAACATCCGGCAAGTTAACAAGAGTTGTCGCATATTTGTTCTATTGTTGGTGCATTATTTGAGACCCAGAAATTGGCCCAGATGGGTCGCAACGCATATAATAATGTAATCGGATTGTATATAAATGATTTACATTCAATTGTTTTCGTTTTGACTCTTGATTTCAAATCAGTTATGTCCAGCGAAATACGGCATAAGTCTCAACCGAATAGCAATTTCTAGCGTCTGGTTATTCAAGTCTATTGCGCATGCACTCCAGATAAGATATGGCGTCACCGTTTGACAGGAGTTGTGGAATATGTCTAGCCTCGTTCTTTCTGGTCACTTGTTACAAATGACGCCGAAACGCACTATGATACACGATTCGTGTACTAATGGTAAATTTTTTATTTTATCTTAAATATTGGATAGCAGAAGCCTATACCTTTTTCCGGTAAAATCACAACATCAATGTTGATTTGAATTGACAAATAATTCGTATTTTCAACGTGTAAGACTTTGGATGATACTGAGTTAGAGACTTAGCTACTTTAATATCATGGAGTTAGCTGTTCAAGTTATCAAAATTCATTGAAAATCAATATACATGTACTTGTTCGTCTCAAGACCTTAAACTCTGTGTATCAATCTAAAGTCAATCGGATGATAACTGGTCTCTAGAGCACTCAGAAGATTTTTTTAAAGTGATCAAGGGCCAGAACTCTGGCAGTATATATAATAAACGGAAATTGTTGAAAATCACTAGGATTCTCCATCTCATGACCTTAAACACTGTGTATAAATTTAAAGTCAATCGGATATTATCGGAAATCATTGAAAATCACTAGGTTTCTTCGTCTCATGGCCTTAAACACTGTATAAATTTAAAGTCAATCGGATATTAACTTTACTCTCTAGAGCTGCGGTGGGCAAACCTTTTAGGTGAAGGGCCAAACACAAAGCGATCAAGGGCCATAACTCTGGCAGTAATTATCAGAAATGGTTGAAAATCATTAGGGTTCTTCGTCTCATGGCCTTAAACACCATATATAAATTTAATGTCAATCGGAGATTAACTTTAGCCTATAGTGCATCCGCAGGATATTTGTCGCAAAACGGTTCCCCACATAATAGGACCTTATTAGTGATTTTGTAATCTAAAAATCTATAAGTTTGTTTCATTTCGAAAGCTTAATTTTTGTACGGTAAAGTACCTATCATTTTTTTCTTTAATGTATATTTGGGGACACCATAAACTTTTCAGAGCTTTTGACTTCTGAAGCCCCCCCCCCCCACAGCACCACTTCAAACATCGAACGGTACCGTATTCCAAAAATGGCGATATCTGTGAAATTTCTTTATTTTGTGTCGAAATTAATTGTTGATGTGTTTAAACTTCTTCCAATCAGCTAGTTCTGGTACCGCTGTCCATATTATCTATTATATAGACAAATGGTGGGAAATCCTGTATGTTCCAAGTCAAGTGATTGAGTCACATTCTGCACAAGGCTGTCAATTCCGTCTTTGGAGTTAAAATCTCAAAACCAGTCAAACAAGACAACAATCAGCCTAACATCTCCCACCCTAATAAATAGATGACACTCGTTTAGGACTTACAAATATATCTTTTTATAAAGTATCGAGCAATCAACCGAGTAGAAAATGCTCATTATCGAACTTAGTCACGGTATTGATTTAATGAAACTATATAGATCATGTTTCATCACTCTCCCCAAAAATGGACTACCAGAATCCGATTCTAATCCTACGCACGCCACTGGTACCCACATTTAGAAAAGTCACCGATTTTCTTCTACTTTACGATCAAGTAACACTGTATTTTATTTCTTTAAAATTTATACCAACATTTTTTTTAAAAACATTACTCGGCATACATCCGGGACACACTAGGCTCCAGGTCCCTGCACAAGTGGCTCAGCTGCCCCCTCTCTCACGGGACTGCATACACAATCACCTCATCTGTTAACTTGTCCACATATTATTAAACTTTGAAATTTGCAAGTTTTTTTTTATATTGACCATTATAGGCCGACGGTGTCTGAGCCATAGTTTAAATCAGCTTCTATTCTATTTTCAATAAATGGCAGTACTTATACATTAGTGGGGGGTTGGATGGCCGAATGGTTACCACGTGCGTGCTGTATCATAAGGTCTGTCATTGAGTTAACTTGCGTGGTTTCGATTCCCCGGTTGTACGTGACAAGGAGTAGGGTTGCCTGTCCCACCTCGTGGGTTTACTCCGGGTCCTCCGGTTTCCCCCCACTGCTAAAGACCCCTACGCGCAAGCGAATTATTGAAATAAAACTGAACCATGTGTTAGTCCCGAAATGACCTAGTTTATGTCGAGTGGACGTTAAACCCCATCTCTCTCTCTCTCTCCCTCTCTCTCTCTCTCTCTCTCAGTTAGTGAGTTATGCATGTATT